ATTGCCTCTTTCTTATTGCTTATGTTGGAAGAATGTATTCTAGACACATTTCGAGCGTTGCCAACAAATTACACTTGCAATGGTGAAGAAGGGAGCGGCTTTTTGAGCGGTCCTCGATAGATCCTCGACGCAAATATCTCCTCAACTAGAAATGTAGAAGGAAGCTAAACATACTGTTAGAAAGCGCAAACCTTCCGCTTTCCAAAACTGTCTTCTTTTCAAGATCTTGCGAAATTAGAGAGATATTGCCTTTTAAGTGGCAAAAACTCGCATGAAAATTTCAGCATCCTCGACGCTCCCTCGACGGATTTTGAGAGACTATATCTCTTCGAATGGAAGGCTTTCATAGCAATTCCAATACTGCCTGATAGTAGCAAATCTAGCTCTATCTAACCCTACCGCGTGCTGTTCAAAAGGTTGGGAAATGGAGGAATGGAACCTTTTCATCGAGGGTGTAGATTTCGACGGTTTTTTCGGGATTTCAGCAAATCTGACCCAGGGACAAATCGCGCCGCAGCTGCCGTTGAATCGGCCGTTGATCGATACACTCGGCTGTTGTGATTTTGCGTATGCTCTGTTTTAGGGGGTCGTGCCAAGACCTCGATTTCAGGGGGGGGGGTCGTACTTCTGCGACCACGTCCTCGACACGATTTTCACCCTGCTTTCAACTTCTTGGAGATCTCGATAAATCGATACAGTCAAGAATGCTGGACACATTTCAGGAGACCGAAACTTCTAACTGAAGCTTCCAAGAAAGTGTAGAGGGCTACAATTGGCAGGAATTGTGGCGTTAGTACTGAGGATCTCCGCGTGGTTGAAAGCGCATCAGCGCTTTCAATTTCCTCAGAAGCTTAGCCTGTAGGAGAAAAAGGCGGGTTATCTCAAATATGACGTTCATTTTTGGCACAGAGAACATCTGGTGCCAACGTTGAACCACAACTTGTTTTTTGCTGTTTTTGTTGCCAGCTTTGACCAGTCACAACCTGCTTTGAATGTTATTGTAGCAGTTTTGGTCTATTCTTGTACATATTCTTGACTCTATGAGTTACTAGGTCTCCATTCAAAGTCGAATGAGGAGATGAAAGCCCTGAAGTTTAGAGAGATAAACTTGCGCTATTCATCACAATTTCTAAAGACTATTCCGGAGAAGCTAGAGAAAGCTCACAGTGATTTGGATAACGATTTCCTGGCGAAAGGCGGATGCTCTCACTCACCGTCTTTGTCGGTGTGCTCGGACTGTAACAATTTTAGGGCTATATTACGGTTTGCTTGTTGATCTCCTTCGCGTCTAGTACAACTTGTGCGGCTATCTTTTTATTCTTGGCATAGCACTACGTTTTGTTAACTTAGACTACGACTTTTTTAGAAACAAGTTATCGATGTGTTTTGTGTAGTAACAGTCGCTCCTAGCAACAACTAATCATCTGTAGAAATTTGGCTGACGCGCGCTGGGTTTGAGCTGGGATTCGATCCAGAGACCATATGCGCGGCAGTGGCCCCTCCTGTCACCACACCATCTCCGCTCGAATGAGCATTTTCGAACAGTTCAAATACTATTCAACAAATACACATTTATCACATCTCATTCGTGGAACAAGGCAATGTCCGGTTGGGAACGCACTTGAAAAGAATTGCAAGCCGCACTTTGTAGAAGTGCTGCTCCCCTGCCTACAGGCTGCGCCCACCGGCTGCTTCTCCTCTAACGAATTTTCGCTGGTTTTTATGCTCGAAAGCTGCGTCATCATAGGAGTGTTCTACTACCACTTCCGCATGACAAAACTCCGGAGGTTGGAATTTCCAACGCAGTCGTAAAACGCCTGTCGTCCTCTAACTGGCTTGCGGCCGATAAAAACCTCCATCCGTCATCGGTTTGCTTATGTTTCACCTGTTTCACAATAATTGAGGGAAATATTAGAACCATTAACACAATACAAAGAGTGTGAGACTCGAAAACTACCTTTTCGGGAGCTGTGCACACTGCCCAGTGACCTGTGGAACGACTTGCTTATCAACTTATCCAGCGTAGACTTCTGATACTTCGCTGACAGAGTAAGAATTACAAAGTTTCTAGTTGTGCACAATTCAGCTATTGAATGGGTGCTCCTGCGATCAATATTCCCTGGAACTGTGGTAGTGTCTTTGACTACGAAGTGGGACACATGTGTACCACCAGTAGTCAAAGATTAACTTACGCAGGATGACTCGCTTTAGCTTCTGACGACTAATTGTCATAGTAGGAATTAGAAAGCTTCTATATGTGCACAGTTCAGCCATCAAATGAGCCCTCCTGCCTCAATATTCCCTGGAACTGTGGTAGTGTCTTTGACTACGAAGTGGGACACATGTGTCCCACCAGTAGTCAAAGGGTTAAGCGGTCAACACTTCTGCCGTTTCCTGTATATATTCGCATAATTGTCGATGTTAACCTGTTCCAGGGCTTCATACCTTCTCTTCTGTCATGCAGTGCTTGCCACGAAGAATGGGAAACTCAGGAAAATATGTGAACGTAGCTAATGCTCTGGCTGTGACTCTGTATATGTGCAACGAAAACGTACGTTTCACACGTTGTCTTCACTGATTACTAACTGTGCTTTATTGTTCTCCTTCTTTTCAGGCACGGTTGTTGTCTTCACATTTTTTCACTATATTTAATTTTCACTGCATTTTCTTTAGACGCTCACTTTGTTGCAAGAAAGAGACGATTCTGCGGACAAGAACATGTCTGTTAATGAAGGTGAACCGTGGATGGGTAACTTCATAATCACGAACGCTCCAGATCTACCATCATTATTAGGTCAAGATCCTGGAACTCGTGCTATCTGTAATGCTATCGAAGGTGCTGATAACAGTGTTGATAATAATCGCATTTTTTCGTAGCTGTAATGCAAAGCTATTGCATGTGTTTAGCACATGTCTTCATCCCCGTGTGTTCTTTGTCTCGAGTGTTTTCGTTTTGCATTTGTTCTCATTTAAGCTTCTAAACTATCTGTCTGAAGAAGTGGTGTGAGTGCTTTATCATTTGTCGTATGTAGAGTAGTAAGACTTCCGCTGTGAAGCAGCCAATGTATCACCTAGTCGATACCGACTTTTTCTCTTTGTCTCACTTTCTTTATGTTGCCTTTAAAGCTGCCTGTTTTTTCACCTCATTACCACTATTTAATGATGCAGTTTTGCTCTGACTACTACCTCTTTGAGGACTAATTTTATAAAGCTTAAAGCATGAACTACCTTACTGCCGACCTCATTATTGATCATCAGTGTGATCTCAGCACATTGCTTTGTGTTCCGGGCATCGCTGATTCGCAATGAGGTAATTTCAAAGAAATCGTTTCTATGAATAATTGATGTTGCTCTCTATGCTGTCTTTTCATGTGAATAGGATTTATTGAAGGAATTTTTTATGACAGTGGCAGACTTTTTGTATGGTCACTGATTTAGGAGATCCTGTAATAAATTTCTGTGAAGGTTTGTATTAGTTCAGATGAATTGAGCGGTTGAAATTAAGTGAGAGGTGTATGTGCCTCTGATTTAGAATGTTGAAATTTTGGACAGCCTCAGACAGACAGTGATGAGATGATAGTAGGCAGTAGATAATTTACTATTAGGCTGTCGGAAAAGTCTTTGGCCATTTCGATCTGCATGTTGTAAAATCTCCAGGATAATTTTTGAACATCCACTGTGAAAACGTATGTAAACCCTAGTCAATGATCTCTTT